AGATCCGTTCCTTCCCGTACGTAGTGGTCGCTCCATTAGCGCTTGTGCAGCCACATTTGAATGTGTAAAACCATGGAGGTAAAAGAGTTTCTTTTTTCTACCTGAGTATAGTACCTCCATGGTAAAACCTAATGTCTACAGTCCCGTTTTGATTCGTTCATCAAAGTAGATTTTACTAAGGTATGACTTTACTAACTGATTGTGGAAGTACTAGTACTTAGTACTGATGTAAACAAGAAACAATTGCGCTCTCTGGTTGAGTTCATGGCATTTACATGAAACAAGGTGCACGTGCTAATAGCCGCTAGTCGTTGACGCGTCAGCAGCCCTATATGATTGGTCCCCGCTAGAAATCTACTGGATGTCATATAGTGTACACGGCCCCCCCCCCAAAAAAAAACCTCCGAGGCTGAAGCCTGTGTGCTATGCTCCGTAATTCCGTTGTACTGACGACTAAAATACAGAGCCGGCGGTAGCCTCGCAGCTTTTAAAAGTTGTCATGTACAACCGCAAATTTGCAATACCACGGCCAGCTTTGTCATGATTTCCGTGGTTTGGCAGCATTTTTTGGGGCTGGACTTTTTTATTCGCCCGCTCGCATTAGCTTTGGGGTCTTCAGAAGATGTCGTCCATAAAATTAAGTCAGTGTGGCTATGCCCCAATTAAAACGGGTTTCTTGAACACAGATTCTTGACACTTAGTATGATTTTAGTTGCCGGTATTTGAAGGAGCCTTCTGTTATCAGAGCCTTGTCGAAGTAGTGTGCTTGATTCCTTATTTGTGCGTCGTCCTATGCATGGCTCACGGTGTCCAATTTCCTTCACAGAATTGATTTAAGTATATTGCCTTTTTTGGGCAGAGCCTGTAGTATTGGGATCGCGCGTATGAGGACATTTCGTGGCCTTGGACAGTTCCAGCGATTTCGGGGTGTGATAACCAAAGCACCTGCCTCCAAGGACTCGGTATAAACAATAATTACATACCAATTACAATAATTACAGAAGTAAACAGGATACAAGTAGTAGTAGAAACGGTTTATTGAAAAAAAAATATATATACATATAGCAGCACAAGGCCGAAATGAGGTTTTGTACAATGTCAGAGATTTTTAAAAAAAGTGACTTTGTATGGCGAGTCAAAATTCTAAAACATGTAACATCTTAACATTGCTTCCGTTCATTCTAGTCAAATTTGACAGGCTGGTCGTAGCCACAAAAAGGTGTACCTCTTTACCTAGACATAATTCATACAAGTGCTAACATGTCACAAGATACTCTTGAAGCAAGGAGTGTTGCTTGAAGTAAATATTGCGCGGTACATCAATTGAAATATTTTCATAAAATCTTCAAAACTGTAGCTGCCTTTGCAAGGTTTCACTTTTGGAAGGCCTACTTGCCCCCCCCCCCCAAAAAAAAACGCTGACCGCTCTCGGAATGCCTGCAAAGGAGGCTATCACATCGGTATGAATCAGTCTAGGTATACGCAAACTCCACATAGAAAAAGGCAGACACAACCGCCTTCCTGTAGAGCAAAGGATTTGCCAATTTTGCGATTTAGATAAGATTGAGGATGAGTATCATTTCATAGTTATATACGTTATATAGTAATGAGAGAGATTTCCTTTATTCTTATATAATAGATAAGTTCCCTAGCTTTGGACATTTAAATGAATCAGAAAAATTTATATTTCTTATGAAACTTGACAAACCATGTATCATTAGTTCTATATGCTCGTACATCTATAACTGCGTCAAGAAGCGAGAAAAAGTCGAACAATGTAAATAGTAGATCACATTAGTATGTATAGTTTACGTATCATTGATGTATCCTTTTCCTTGTCTATTCATAACCTGTACTTAGCTTGTTAGAGCACAAACGTACAATAAAGGTCTTTCATTCATTCAATAATATCGGAATAGACGTAATAAAAAAATCCTCTTCAACTACAATTTAAAGCACAGGCGTAAAACAACATACCGTGTTCAATGACACTTCTTGACAACTACTAGTAACTTAGCCATATAAGGTATTCCATATGACTTACGGAAGTCATACATCATGATGGTGACTAAAGGAAGAGAACACCAAACGCCAGCTGACTCTGCCGATCGGAAGCGGTGCAGACTGCACACGAGGCCACACGAGTCGAGCGCTGCCGCTACGTCATGCGGCTGGCCCAGTTTTAGGATGCTGCCTCAGCCGAGGGACCACACAGGACACAAGGGCACACCAGAGTGTTTGACCTAGCCTCTACCAGGCTTGGGGAGGCGGAGGGAAAGAGTAGAAATCGGCCAAATAGAGAGATTAAAGCATACCAAGGGAGTTTGTCCGTTGAGAGAACATTTTGGGGTGCGGCGAAATGTTCTCTCAACGGACAAACTCCCTTGGTATGCTTTATAATATCTCTCTATTTGGCCGATTTCTACTCTTTCCAACCGCCTACCCAAGCCCGGTAGAGGCTATGTTTGACCGTGCACCATGTGGCCTAGCCTCCTTTGTTAGCTAGTCTCCACCAGACTTCTTTTGCAGGCTGAATAAATCGTAGAAAAATCGGCCTAAAAGGGGATATAATTGGCCAGAGGAGTTTGCTGGCCATAGAGCCTTGAGGGTCCAGCAGTAAATGGCCTGCACGCAAACTGGACCCTCTATGAGGGCCTGTAAGGGGGGTCCCGACGACGCTCTACGCTGAATTCGGAAACCTCTCGATTACGCTTTACGATAAATTCCAAGTGGCTACAACGCATTACGTAGAATTAAAACGGCGAATACGCTCTACGCAAAATGCGAAGAGCGGTCCGTCTACGCATTACGTAGAATTAAAACGGCGAATACGCTCTACGCTGCTGTGCGATGTTATCAGTTTTAAGAAAGCCGTTTCAAACAGTAGTAGTGTCACCTGATCCTTGACCCTTGCTCGCCACTTTTAAATTGTTTATATCTATGTGTATTTATTGTTGACGTGGTGTACATGCATGTATGTATGTATTTTTAAATGTTTCCACTATGTTGTAATTGCTATAATGTTTGAGCCTTGGAAGATTAGCCCTTCGGGGCTAAAAGGTTTCGAAATAAATGAAATGAAATACGCAAAATGCGAAGAGCGGTCCGTCTACGCTCTACGTAGAATTAAAACGGCCGATTACGCTCTATGGAAAAGGGCTTGCGGGCCCCCCTCTATGGCCGGCAAACTCCTCTCGCCAATTATATCCCTTTTTTTAGACCGATATATACGATTTATACGATAATTCAGCCTGCAAAAGAAGTCTGGTGGAGTCTATATGCTAGCCTCCTTCGCAGACTTGTGAGGTGGCGGCGTTAAATTTTTTTTCGGGGAGCGACGCGAGTGCCGGGGAGAGAGGGAGAACTCGGGTTTCGCCGCCTAATATAACTCGCGATTACCCTGGGTGCCATCCGATTTGTAACGGCACCCCCCCCCAAAAAAAATTCAGGGTTGCCGTTACAAATCGGATGGCACCCAGGCTAACTCGCGATCGCTCCCCGAAAAAAATTAACACCGCCGCCCCAAGTCTGCAAAGGAGGCTATATACTCCTGTGCAGACTTCCAGCAGAGCAGCGCTAGCCTCCTTCGCAGGCGTTCTGGGCGCAATCGGCGTTTCTTTTTTTGGGAAAGGCGTACTAGTACCAGGGAAGTAGCCTCTACCAGGCTTGGGGAGGCGGCTGGAAAAAGTAGAAAATAGAGATGTAAGCATGCCAAGGGAATTTGTCCCAGAACATTTCGCCGCACCCCAAAAGCCTGGTAGAGGCTACCAGGGAAGGCTGGCAGAGTTCTAAGCGTGTGAGATCTACGTGCGATCAGAAAACTCCCCCCCCCCCCAAAAAAGGAGGCTACCTAAGCTCCCTATGCTGATAGAGCTCACCCCGACCAAGGCTACTAGACCAAGGCCCTCTTCCCCAGGCCTGCTCTTCCCGAAAAGAAACTGCAGCTCTAGACGCTTTTGTAAACAAACGCTGTACTAGAAGTCTGCACAGGAGGCTAGCATTGTCCATGACGTTCATATCAATGTAAACCGAAAGGGCGTGGAAGCCTAGGGTAAATATTCGAACGTCTGCTCTATATTAGACGAGTTACATGACAGCCGACTATATGGTTTAGCACCTCAAGCACGACGGGTCAAATACTTTGCGGATCGGATTTCCCAACTTGGCAAAAAATGTTGGCAGATTGCTTGCTTTTTACTTAACTTCTCTCTGTCTGAAATATTTCATACCCATATGCGGTTGCTCCAAATGTTTTTGCTTGGATTCAGCTAAGGGAAGACAGTTGTCAAGATAAAATGTACAGAATTCTTTATTGACTCGACAAAAGTACAGGGACTTTTGTATGGTCTACTACAACTAAGGTCGAACAGAACTAAATACATGTATGGATAAAGGCATCTTACGTATAAAATATATGTATACGGCAAACGTAAATGTACGGCTTCTAAATATGATGTTTCATTTCATCTTGGCGAAGGATGTCGACTATATAGCAAATGTAAAATGGAAAAAAAAATGATCCACTCATTTATTATTAACATTAACCTGCCTTACCTCGTTTTAAATAGCAGATTATGCGTAATAGGCATGCACTGTTATACAAGGATAGATCACATTTTTAGCGCCTTTTTAATATTGCATTAAATGCATGAGCATATACTCAGTCATCATATCTAAAGTACTGTTATTTTCTTTTTCCATGTTTTTTGCTGGACGTGTGGTCTTTCATCGGCATTCCATTCCGATCTATGGTCTTGCTTTAAAAATCAAACACAACTGCAGAGCGAGTAAATATGAAGTAAGAAGGTTCTGGCCGTTAGAATCTTGTGTACACGCGCGCTTGTGTGTGTGTGTACCGACTACCCGCGCCATGCCTCCCGCGCTGGTGACTGGTAGAGGCCGGCCATGCTGTTTTGCGTCATCGGTGGCTTGTTGCCATGCCGACTAATTCAGACAGCTCTGCGGGAGCCCCGCCCCCAAGAGATAATACCCGGCTTGACGTCATGGCACTGACGTCCCTGCCTGCCCAGCAAAGGGGAACGGGGAGCGCTCACGCAGCTGCCGCACAACCTTAATACATCACGTCGGGTGCCGGGGAAGCGAGCGGCGCGCTGGCGGCCAGCCCAGCTCTCGGTGTTTACCGCCACTTTTCTCTTACCTTTCTCAGGGGCCAAGTGACTAATATGTCGCCTGTACGGACGGTAGAATACCGCACGAGTTCCAGACACGTCGCGGGGCGCTGCTGACTGAGAGAGAAGCCGTGTCCGAGCCCTGCTGTACCCCGCACGGAAAGAAAAACACACACGGAACAATTGTGGGGAGGGAGAGAGCCGCACGCTGAGACCATGGTCATGGCGGAGAGAGGTAGAGGCCAGATTCGCGTTGGCTTCTACGACATCGAGAAGACCATAGGCAAGGGGAACTTTGCTGTCGTCAAACTGGCCAAACATCGGGTCACTAAATCGGAGGTAAGTTGCCCTGATCGAGCGAGGATCGAGCCCGTATCGGTGCCGCTCGGTAGTGGTGGCGGGGGAGATATTGCACAACCTCGGCCGTTCGTTCCCGGAGCCGGCCGTGAGAGTAGCCATGCACGTAAATAATTATAAGCGTCAACACTGGCAAATTATTCTGGGCGACGAAGTCGATCTTTGCCAGAAATTGTACCTTAGCACGTTTTCTAAACGTCTGCTGTCCACTACGGATTATATTTGCGAATGAAAACCCGGCCATAATTTTGTGTATGAATGTCTGATGGTAGACGTTTTTTCACGGTCTCCTTTTTTGTAGGTTGCCATCAAAATCATCGACAAGACACAGCTCGATGACGCCAACCTGGAGAAGGTTTACCGAGAGGTGCAAATTATGAAACTTCTCAATCATCCCAATATCATCAAGCTGTACCAGGTACGGTGCTCAATTACCTGTATTATATGCTGCATTTAAAGGTCCTCTATTGTGTCCAAGGTTTTTCCCGGGAATGGACACGTGTCCCTTCGACCACCATTGTCTGGTGAAACCTTCAGTAACTGTAAGCCTACGGGCACAGGGAAGCTATTTTCCCGGCCAGTCACGCTTCCCCAGAAATATGTTTTTCCTCCGGTCAAAGACCGCATGCTTAAATCATATGTTGGACTAAGATAGAGTGGATAGGTAAACATTGCCAAAGGACAAAACAGACTTGTTTACCCACAGACCTACCTGTTCAACCGAAAGACCACTTTGAACAATGGAGGGAACAATTATTACCTCCTAATTTGTAGAGAAAAAAGTATCCCCCAAAATAGTTGATAACTAAAATTTGATACATTCTCTGAGAATTGATTTTATGTTAGCAATTTAAGGTGTGTTGTATGTACAGTCATTTTAAGTGTGGAGGGGGTTACTCATTTTAGTGAGGGGGTATATGGCATGAGTCATACTACCTCAGGAGATATTGTCCAGTCAATGTGTTTGTACATTGAATCACACCCACACACACACACACCAACACACACACGTTTGCCCACCCCCAATTGGTGCCAATTTACAATGTTTCTAGCCTGGCTACATTGCTTCATCTTTGATAACATTTGATGTAAAGCAAGGAAACTAGTAACGTTAACTGTTCATGTTTAAAAAAACAATGACAGCAACACCACACATGTATACTCTTTCCTTTAAATTCATCTTGGTTTGTTCTGTTTATTTGTTCGACTTGTTATTATTTGTCAATCCTAGTACTAGACATGTTACCAGAAACAATTGTGTCAAATATCCCAACTGAAGTTGGATTAAAATGATGAAAAAAAAAGATCGTCTTGTCAAAAATGTCAATCTCATACTTGACAAGATTACCAGAAACAAATATGTATCCTGGATGATGAAGCTAAATTTTCAAAATATGGAATTGTACATATTGAACTAGTTTGGCAACGGATTAAGAAAGAAATCCATTTGATAAGAAATGAGTTAAAATTAAAAAAAAATATGCTCCCTTGGAAATTGTCCTTTTTCAGTTACATGTAAGGTACTATCCATATGTATCTAAAATTGAGTAAAATAAAAAGATACCCATAACAGTGCCACAGAAACGATGGTATTCTATCCCGCCTTGCGGGAGGGTAACCATGCAATATCCATCCTAGGCGGCAATGACATCATCGTTTTACAAGAATGATGCATACATTATACTAGTAGCTGCTCCTGTGGGCATGTGTGGTCCTCCATTCCAATAAGGCTAAGCAAAATTAATGTTGTGTTCCTGGGTTAAAACTTAAGGGATTCCATTTTTTCCTACATAGATTTCAGCTAAAGATATAAACATTATCTTTTTGGTATAATTTGTCTCTGACCCTGACTTTTTCCCTCATGACCTCATTGAAAAGCGACCTGCAGGCCAGCTTGTCAAAGAGTGATGAAATAACAATGAAATGATTGAACAAAAAAAATCCAACAAACATAATTTAGCAATACAAAACTGAAGTGCACCAACAATGGTATTTTCCATATCATATTTTAATTTATGAATTGAACAAAGTAGGACAATGTTTATAATAAATGGAGTTTTATACAGTTGTTTCACTTGCACAATATCTGTTGTAACAGAACATTGTAAAATGACTCATGACAATGTTTTTCATCACTCAGCTGTCAGATCGAATATTCTATATCCCTAAATACTAGCGGTGAAACAAAAGCAAAAAAAAAAGATCAGGGTCAGTCTGGTAATCTGGAAACAAAACATTTTTTCCTGGCATCGATCTTAACTGCAACTTAGTGCAAGCTTGCATAGACAAGTGATATGATATGAAAAATTATCAGAACTACATGTACACAGGCATTCTTACAACCGATTTCACACCAAATGGATATTGACATACCATTATTTTGAGAGAAATAACGTCACGTGTCAAAATTTTCCTATCTATATAATTATTTGTCTTTCAGTCACTGGAAGAATAAATGATTTTTGAATAGAATGTCGTGTTGATTAATTTCATCCACCAGAAAACTGTTGTTTGTCTAGTTTTCGAGCCGTTGTTTTTGTTTTGGCTGGCCGCTACCCATGCGTAAAGAAATCGGGGCAGCGTTTGCCGTACGTGACAAAATATCCGGCGTGGCTTTAGAATCGATTGGCTCTGAGCGTGTTTGTTTACCTTCCCTTAGGTGATGGAGACAAAAGACATGATCTACCTTGTCACAGAGTATGCCAGCAATGGGGAAATTTTCGGTAAGTACCCTCCAAACATGTGATACAAGGAGACTAGGAAATCTTGGGAAGATACGGTGGGTAAAGCAAACTATAAATAGTTACCGTTAGTACCGAAAACTGATACGGAATTGTAAAATTGCAGAGAGATTCATTATTTGCGTTAAGAATTTATACAAATGTGAAGTAAGAGCGTGGTAGCTGGGTACTGTTTTCATTCAAAATAATTCTGGTGCCAAACCTTGTCTGCGACTTGAAATATTACGAGACGGGGAAAGCTCCCCAGGTGTTTCGGAACTGATAACGCTCCCTGTAAGAGTGTGTTCCATTCCCCCCATTCCCATAAAGGCTTTGGCGGCTGGGTAATCATTTCACTTTACAGTCCTGTCAACATGTCGACTTTAGTTTTACTGCCCAGTGTCTGTTGTCATGCTGGTATGTGAAACGAGGACAGGCCTTGGACTGTATATCAGGTCCGTAGGAGGGTGACGTAGCGTGCACTTCGATATGCGTGTGCGTGTCGTAATGCCCGGTGAATTTTTCCAGATGTACTACAATTGCGTGATAGTTCGGTAGCATTTTTACGTATACAGCTAGGTTGCCAGGGCTGAAAATTCATTTTTTTGGGAATAGGTGCACTGGTGCATCCAACCTAAAAAAAAAATTACACAAAAAATTGCACAAAAATTTTTTGGGGTGCACCATATAAAACAAAACATAATGACAGATCTTAATGCTCCTCTTTTAAGCTGGAATCTGAAATGGCAGCCAAATTCAAAATCTTACACAAGAACTGCAACAAAGATTTTATTATCTTTATGACACCAAGAATATCCTGCATACTATTTTTTTAAATGCACAGAAATACCTACAAGAATATTTTGGTGCACAGCTCCAATTTTGGGTGCACTATGGTGCACAATCATGCACCCAGTATTTCGAGCCCTGGCGGGTAATGTTCAGTGCGCCCTGCACAGATCCTTTTCTCCTGGCCTTTCAAAAGGAATTCCCTGTAATCTTTCCCTCAAATGGAAACCATAATTCCCATTCAGTGGTAAATGGAGCAGCTGCACATATTTCATTGAAGCTAAGCGCTTTTCATTTACGTGTCTTCGCTGGGAAAACCCAGTTGGTTTGCCTCAAAATGACAGCAATGTATATAAGGTCCTAGGAAAAAATATAATGTGTTTCCTGTTTCAGTGCTGAAAAATTAGAGTTAGTAGGTAGGGATTAGTTTTTTTAAAGACTTTGCCAATCTCTATTGATCCAACTTATACAATACAGTTAAAATAAAACTTGCACGAGGACACTTATATTTTTTTAAATGTCAATGTTAGAAAACCAAATTGTACAACATTTCTCACTCAGGTGTCAGATCATGGAGCTAGATCAGCTCGAAAATGTACTTGAGGGGTCCACACAATACAAAAAAGTCTAGGGTCGGAATTTTTTTGGAGCACCCAACCTAAAAAATTAGGTGCACAAAAAATTTTTGGGTGCACCATATAAAACAAAACCTAATTGCAGGTCTTACTGCTCTTTTCTGAGCTTGAATCTAAAATGAGAGTTAACTTCAAAGTCTGAAACATTACTACAACCATGGCGTTAAAAGGTTCCCTTTTGAACCTCCTTGCTACAACAAAGTTTTTTTTTAATTATTTTTCTGATACTTAGAGACCAAGCATATCCGGTATATTATTATACACTTCTAATGTTAAAAATTCCTACAAAAATATTTGGGTGCACCCACAGAAAAAATTGGGCGCACAACTCCAATTTTGGGTGCACTAAGGTGCACATGCACCCAGTATTTCGAGCCCTGTCTAAGTTCCAAATGACAAATAATTTAACGTTGAACGAATTTAAGTGGTCGGAATGTAATATCCTATAAATGTAGGCTGATGGCTTAGCAATGTGTAAGGCCACACCAAGTAAATTTTATGGATGACGTCCTTTGGAGACCCTAAATCTAATGCGAGAGGGCGAAAAAACAAAAACAAGTAGGGCCCTAAAAAACAAGATGCCTAGATTAGAAATGTACTAAGAGATGACAAATGTTAGGACACAAATTGAATGAGGTGACACAGTGTAACAAGCAAGAAGTCTTTTATTCATCATCAAAACAGCAATAAATCAGGTGGAACAGTGGACAGTGAAAACAGGATGGTAATAGACACTTTTTTGCGTTAAGGGTTTCACGTCAATCTGACGATTTGCGGCCCTGTCGTAACTCTTTGGTCATAGTTACAGGAAGCGGAATTTCTTGTTTTTTTTTGTAGGAATAGGCCAAAATCAATGGGCGCGCGGACGTCATCCATAAAATTTACTTGGTGTGGCCTAAGCAATAAACGCAGTGTTAAAAGCTGTGTACATAATTTGACCAGATGTTGTGTGGGATAATTAGATTGGGGGTGATGGTGTCTATGGCATAATTGAAGTGACATCCTTGTAGAAGGTGTTCTCTGCCATGTAAAATTCAGACACTTCCATAATAAAAGTACTTTTTTTCTGAAGGTAACATTGAAAATTACCTGCACCAGACAAATTTTACCTGCACCATGCACTCAGAGTTTAGGAAGTATGGATTCTTGCTAAAAACTGCAAAATTCAATGTACTTTTTTCTGCAGGTAACATTGAAAATTACCTACACCAGACAAAATTTTACATGCACCATGCACTCAGAATTTAGGAAGTATGGATTCTTGCTAAAAACTGGTCAGAAACCAATGTAACTGTCAAAGCAGCAAATGCATTTCTGTAGAATTTGCCTCTAAAAGTAGTTGCATAACAAATTTTCCTGTAAGCCGTTGAGATAATAGTTTCAGTAGTCTGTCTGTATGCAAAACCAGCTTTTTCGTTGGTATTTTAATAAATATTTTTATCAACACTGGCCCTGTCCTTTAGGGTGATTTTTATGTCAATTGAAGCTGAATTTTTTTCTAAAAAATCCATCTAGACTACTTAGTTTGTGCCTACGGTCCACAAATAAGTTAGAAACTGGATTTGACCTGTTTAGATTGGATCCTGATTCTTGCCAGAATCTGGTTCTTCACGAGTCCCGTCTGGCATCAGTCAGGAAAGGGTAAAGGTAGCACATTTGTTCTCCAGGAAGTGTGGTGGGTGATTTAGACCTGCTGCATGGCATTATGTATCAGACAATTCCACCTTGGCCTTTCTTCGCATTTTAGCATGGCTGCGTTCATGTGATATCCCGCGTACATACATGTGTAGTTGGCCGCGGAGACTGTCGGCAGTCGATTTGTTCTAAGCCTCCGTATAGCATCGGGCGGGCGGCGAGGTTTGATAAATGTTCATGAATGCCATCATCTCATGGCACCCGTCTAGCTCACAAAGGCTCCCGGCTTGGTGAATGCTGGAGTCGTGAGATTGTTTGGGGCCGATAATGCAGGAAATGGGAGCACAAAACGGACTGCGGGTGCCGTTACGAGTCAAGCAGGCTGCCAGGGGAGGTTTTCAAGCGCTTCCCTGAATTCTGAATAAGGTTTTCTTCCCTCTCTGGCGTCTTATCATCGTGACGTTACCTCCTCGATCCATCCATCAGCAAACAGCTCAAGATGGAAGGGTCTCCACCCCAGATTTGGCACTTCATAAAAAGCTGCTTTGAGGACGCATTGACGAATCGCAGCAGCTTGAAGTTGGTCAGGGCTTCTTTTTCCTGGAATCTAAGAGTGCGAGGCTCTGCAACAAACAATATTTTCTTTCTTTTCCTTATTTAAGGTCAGAGGACCATTTTCAGTGGCTTAAAATTTCATACCATACAGGGCTTCTTTTTCCTGGAATCTAAGAGTGCGAGGCTCTGCAACAAACAATATTTTCTTTCTTTTCCTTATTTAAGGTCAGAGGACCATTTTCAGTGGCTTAAAATTTCATACCATACAGGGCTTCTTTTTCCTGGAATCTAAGAGTGCGAGGCTCTGCAACAAACAATATTTTCTTTCTTTTCCTTATTTAAGGTCAGAGGACCATTTTCAGTGGCTTAAAATTTCATACCATACAGGGTTTCTTTTTCCTGGAATCTAAGAGTGCGAGGCTGGAAAATAGATTCACTTCTAAAGTGGTAATGGATGATCTCTGCAACAAACAACATTTATTTATTCTTTCTTATCCTTATTTAAGGTCAGAGGATCATTTTCAGCGGCTTAAAAGTTTTAGTGAAATTTCATACCATACAGGGCTTCTTTTTCCTGGAATCTAAGAGTGCGAGGCTGGAAAATAGATTCACTTCTAAAGTGGTAATGGATGATCTCTGCAACAAACAACATTTTCTTTCTTTCTTTTCCTTATCTAAGGTCAGAGGATCATTTTCAGTGGCTTAAAAGTTTTAGTGAAATTTCATACCATACATGTACTTTTTTTATTCAAACTTTATATAAAATGTGTGGTTATGAAATGTAAATGTAAGAAATATTCACTATGCATTAGGGCACAGAACAGGTGAATATTTCTTTAATACATTATATTTCATTATGCACGTTTTATATAAAATTAGGATTCAAAGTACGGTATAAAACTTCACTGACCTTTAGTAGAGTGCAAAAAAAATAAAAATTTTGTGAGGTATATTCTTCAGTTGTTTAAAGCAGAGATATTACAAATATACGGACTATCAGCGCCGATTATTACTTGCACTTCCGATTGACTTTTAGTTCTCCATTTGTCCTTTTGCCAGCCGCCTGCTCGTGAGAAGCATGGCAAACCAACACCTTATTTACCCAAGGTTGGTTGGAACAGGAGAAAGGTCCTGCTTGGAAAGGCAGGGTTTGGAGTGCCCCTTTCTCAGGGAGGCAGTGATGTGTGGTAGAGCTGCGGGGAGGTTGATAAACACATGCTAGTCTTGCCGAACAAACAAGAACCTGGCCAGGGTTTTGCTGGCCCGAGTACGTACCTCAGATCAGTATGGCTGTCTGTTGGTACACTGTCCAATGTGTCTTTTCTATATAAAGTCTGCATGCCTTTTTCTGTGAGGCGTAGATTTGATCCAATATGCTAAATGGGTAATTCTTCATGAAGTAAAATTGATCACTTAAATCCCAGGTAGCACAATTGTTGTACAGTTATATTCCTACATGCATGCTCCCTCAGAAAATTTTGAACCATTTCCTGCATTTTTTGCGAGGATTTCAAAGTGATCAGTTTGTGTAGAATTCCAGATCCACTGCTGATACAAATCAGTCCTGTGAGTCCACCTTTTCAAGAAAAATCTTCGACCTTTAGATAAAAAGTGGACCTTTGAACCTTGGGGGGTTCTTCCAAACCCCCCGAACCCCCCTCCCCCTAGCTACGGGCATGTATTGATCTCAAACATAAAAAGGTTAGAAAAACAACTCAATGTGTCACTGAACTTGGTGTCGTGAATTAGGACTCCTGATTCCACATTAGTACAATTTTGTTTGCAGTCTTTCTGGTATGTTTGGACGGGTTTGACATCCCAAGGTGGTCAACTGTCGCTCCTGACGACATTTCATACCTTACAGGTTACTCACGGGCACAAACAAGCTGCCCAGGAGAGAATGGCTGACCTTTTACACACATTTCATCACCGGGTGTTCTAGGAGGGCCTGCATGGGAGGGTCCCGACAACGCTCTACGCTAAATTTTGAGAGCCGGCTACGTATTACGTTACAGTACCTATTACGCTTTACGATAAATTCCAAGTGGCTACATCACATTACGTAGGATTAAAACGCGAATTACGCTCCACGCAAAATGCGCCAATTACGCTCTACGTTGAATTACAGCGGTCCGTCTACACTCTGCATGGAATTAAAATGGCTGATTACGCTCTACGGAAAAGGGCATGTACCATCATGTCGAGCATCAAACACGATGATGATGATGATCAAACACGACAATCGGTCTGGGGGCACGTGTTCCTCTGGAAAAAGTATGAAATCTGAACTGCTATATACATATCTGAAATGCTATTTCCTGCATTTTGAGGCTGGGAGCAAGATTTACTTGTAGGCTAAACTTAGTTTAATAACATGTCTCTTTCCATCACTTTACACACAGAATTTTGTCCGTCAAAGATGACATATAGAATTTAAAAGATGGGTAAAATTTTTGTCTGTCATGAGCAACAAAATTCGGTCAAATGACCAAAACAAACTGACATGAACCATATACTAGTAGTTCTCACTCTTATATGCATATCTTTTGTACCATGTATGTGTAAAAATATTGGTATGTGTATAAATTTTTCAGGACTTAAAATACTTAAAGCTTTTAATTATCTTTGTGATATATTTTGCTTGACCCATACCTCTTCCCTCATGACCTCAATTAAAAGCGACCTGCAGGCCAATTTGAGTTTGCCATGGTTAAAGAATGGTTCAAACAAACAGAGACAAATGTTGATGAGAACACTGAATGTCACCTGGTGGAACAATGGGGGTGATTGACTGTTTTACCTTTAGTGAGGTCGTTTCATAAGACACGGTAGTGCACTGTGAGAAGAAACAATGAAGATGCAGTTGTTGCTTTACTAATTCATGATCTAACATCTGTGTCCAAAATATCACCAGGGTCCATATTATCGCCACCTTGAGAAACAGTGTGTAAGACATTTTTACTGCAACATACTTTTGGTATGCACTCCTTCACACCTCAAATGTACATACCTAGGGAATGTTGCTGTAAAAATATCTTAAAGCGCACTGTTTCTCAAGGTGGTGATATTACGGACCCTGGTGATATTATGGACACGGATGTTACATGTTTTAGAGAAATTTTAGGAGCAAAGCTTGAAGAACGAAAAATAAAAATCAACACTTAAGTAATGTACTTAAGGCCACACCAATTTATTTTGTTGGTTCTCTGATTTTTTCTGAAAAAATATGAAGCGACAGGGCGAAAAAATAAAAACATGTCTAGGCATCCTATTATAGCTCCAAATGCTTCGATAAGAGTAATAAAGTCAATACAAAAGTCAAACCACTGCATTGATAGCTGGAAAAACTGTATGAACTAAGAAGAAAAGGACTTTCCTCAGCTGTTGGGGGCAAGATATGAGCGTATTTGAGTTGATTCAGAACCAGAAGCTTTTTTTTTTGCAAATCAAAAAAAAAAATGAAGAGGCGAATTCGAGAACCAACAATTTAAATTGGTGTAGCCTAAAAACATCACGAAAATCTATAGTATAGACTGGAGATTTTTTTATCTATGAAAAATATTTCTTTGTGTTACTTTGCGAATGGCTTTTTGGGACAAGTTTGTAAAGAAATAAATTAAGTAAATTTTATGGATGACATCCTCTACAGATTCCAAATCTAATGCGAGCGGGCGAAAAAAAAACAAGGCGGGCCGAAAAAAACAAGGTTCTTACATTTTGAAATTTTGACTCAATCATTGTACAAATGGTTTTGATTCAATGGGAACATCACATAATATACATTGTATACACACGTCAGCCAACATCACATATCACTGCATCAAAGTAAGAAACAAAACATAAAATCAGAGCCTTTTCTTGTCTCCTCTCTCTATAGTTATCTGCCATCCACCTTCCGGCATGGCAACAGACATCTTGGCCTATTTTCGGCATGGTGACCACTGTCAGAAGGCAACAAAATTTTTTTTTTTTCAAAATCAGGCGAAAATTGCGCTCGCTGATGTCATCCATAAAAATTACTTGCTGTGGCCTAATGAAGGATTGTAGTCTGGAAGGCCTTGACCTATCAAGGAGGGGGATAAAGTGAAATGAAGTGGTAATCTAAATGACCTTTGAGTTCTCCGCCCAAACAATTATGACGTCTTGGTTTAAGTCTCCAAGCAGATCCTACGGTGGCAAGGCAGTATTCATTGGGAAAGCAGTGATATATTAGCAACCTTACCAATGTTAATGGACAAGTTTTATTGCAAATTCAATGCCCGAGGGCTAATTGCAGGAATAGAAGATACATTTGGTATTAAAAAAAAAAGACAATTAATACACATAGATCTACTGATAACTGCTAAGAAACTACTAGTAAAAACTACTGGGTTTGACTTCTTTTTTGAAGACAGACGAAGACAAAGGATCCCACTTTTTCTGTAATTTGTGGGTTTTCGGATGTTAAGAGGAGAGTAGTTTTCTTTTCATTTGTATATGTGTGAAAGTTTGGGTAGAATATGGAGGCTACGTCAAAGAGTTCATTCGTTCATTGCTATAGAGGGTACAATTTTAGATAAAATGTGTTTCGTCTTCCACCGTATTCAACGTACAATGTTTGCAAACTCGTTCATACACTTGTCAATATTTACCTGCTCTGGTGCAAGTAATTGAAGAAAAAAGGGTTCCGTCAGCCCTGAAACTTCAACGACAAAACTTCAATGAAAGTTTTTTTTTGATTGTTTCAGACTACTTGGCCAATCACGGCAGGATGAGCGAAAGCGAGGCGAGGAGGAAGTTTTGGCAGATCATCTCGGCGGTGGAGTACTGTCACAACCGTCATGTCGTTCACCGAGATCTCAAGGTTGGTCTGTTTTTCCTTTTTATTTATTTATTTATTTATCTTGAGGACACATTGGGTGGTCCCTTAATCAGCCGCTGGGGCTGATTTCTAAGGGAGCCCATAAGGCCACACCAATTTGATTTCTTGGTTAACGGATTCGCCCGCTTCATTTTTTTCTGATTTGCAAAAAAAAAAAAAAAACTCAGAATCAACTGCAAAATGCTCGTATTTTGCCCTGAACAGTTGAAAACAGTCCTTTTCATCCTAGTTGTTACAGTTATGCCATCTTTCAATGCGATGGTATCATTAAAAGTTCAAAATTCATTGTTTAAATTTTGAACCAGCCTGGTGTGTTGACTTCATGTCTCCTATCGTACCATTTTGGGCCATAATAGGATGCCTAGGCCTGTTTTTATTTTTATTTTTTTTTCGCCCACCCGCTCCATTGTATTTCTACAAAAATCCGTTAACCAAGAAATTAAATTGGTGTGGCCTAACATAAAATAATAATACTTAAACATAACAGAGAAATCATAAATCAAAATACAAAATCAGTCAGAGGTGAGATGTCGTTCACCGAGCTCTCAAGGTTGGTCGACTGTTTTTCCTTCCCGCGGGGCATGACAAATGTCATCGTCCGATAACCACACAACAATGGGCATTGACGTCATGAAGGTAATTACACACGATAAACCTGTTATGTAACCTTTGACTCGATAAGGCCGCGGCAAGTAAATTTCACGGATGACATCCGTGCGAGCATTGATTTTCTCCAGATTTTGAAAGAAAAAAACAACCAAAACGATGGTCCACAAGTAGAAACCAAGAATGTTTTGTCGGGTGCATGTAGCCTCAAGTGAAACTAGCTCAGCAGTTATAAAACTATTAAAAGTGACGTCACTAGCCTTGAGTGTAGATACTAGGCTACCACTCTTGTGTCACTTATTTCTTTACAACTTGAATATACTTGACGTGTTGGCTCTGATTATACCATGTTTTGCCACTCCAATCATTGTCTCATAACATTTCCGTCCTCAGTTTTGGAAATTTACGCAAATTCTTGTTTGCAATTTTGCCTCTCAAATATCTTATTGTATTTGAAGTCTGTCTGCAGAAAATGGCATCCATAAAATTACTTGCAGTCAGCCCAAGGCAGTTTTTCATAACCTCAAATTACTAAGTAGTCAGATGAATTTAATGGCAGGCGCTGCAAAGGTCACAGTACTTCATGTCTGTTTACCAAACTTACCAAACAGCTTACAATGTTTTCAAGAGCGTTGATGAGAGATAGGAAACACTTTATCGATCGAAATAAAAGAGTTTTGATTAAAATATTGCTTCCAGTACGCTCAATTCTTCCACCGAAAAACCAGACGCTGTTACGATCCTGCTCGTACACTTACAGCTGAAGAAAACAACAAAAAAAAACACAAACAAACAATGATCGTAGCACCTGGTTGATGAATCATCAATGGAGGAAATCATGGAGTTACTCTAGGCCGGGTTTCCTGGTAACAAGATTGGAAGAGTAGACGGGGGACCCCCAGGTCCCCTTCTTTAACAAAGCTAGCTCTTCATGCTATTTGGCCTTTGGAGCAGGTGGCACTCCAAACATCAAAAGCCTTCTGTAGCCCGTCATGTTTGAACAAAGTGTATCTGAGCTCTTTAAAAGCAATTTTATGGCCCCGGTAAGAGGCTATTGACGTCATTGGGTTTTAGGGTATTGTGGCAGTAAGGCATCCTGCCAGACGCTATGTAAGCGATATAAGGCTTTGATATATAATATACATGTGTAAGAGGAAGGAGAAAGTTTTCAGCCATAGCAAAAGAAAGCTGGATGTTTTGCCAACCTTTTCTAGGAATTAGTGCGTAAATTCTGCAACTAACTGTAGGTATAGAATTTTATCCAAAAGTAATACTAAAACTTTCAGATATTTTTGGCATGGTCGTTTGAGAGCAAACAATTGCAAAGAACATGATTGAAAGTTTGCAACATTTGAAACTTGGTTATTTTTTTTTAGCTCAACCTTTGTGGAAGCAAAGAGTCAGTATTTGTTTGGAGATACTGTAGCACTGGAATTGTGTGACGTTTTAAGAAAGCATATCCTTTGTCATAAAAAGTTGTCCTTCCTTTCAAAGGCATTAAGTTTATCTTTCTAAAAAACGCAAATGACAGAGAGAAGCATAACTGTTGTCAGTAGCTGAAATGGCTAGTTATCACATACCAAACTTTACTTGATATATTAACCTCATATTTATATCATATACAGTCCACATCAATTTTTGATGACAATACTAGCTAGTACACAATATGATTAATATTATACCTGGCATCCTTGCATTAGAGATATGATTTAAGTATATTCAGTTATAATATAGAGTCGTGCCAAAATTCTAAAACTGGACAATATCCAAGCACCTACATTGTACATACATTGCATTGAATATGACTCCATATTACATTACAAGCTAGTATATATAGAATGTAAGTCAGCACATGTATAGCTACATGCACATTGTCAAACGTATGTTTGAGGTTGTGCTAAGGGTACTCAGTTACGTATCAACCCTTGAGATGCTGAGAAAGTAAATGTACTATTTACCACTTAATACCCTCATATAACATCCTATATTACATCTAGATATGTTTTAAGTACTGCTTTTGGTCAGGTACTTGCAAATCTAAAAAAGCCCAGAGTGGTAGAATCATTACGTATCATTCAAGTACTGGCCCAGTACCTTATTTTTAGTTGTATAAGTAGTAATCAGGTGTAGCGCACTGAAGTAGCCGTTTTGGCTACCAATTCTCTATTGGTTATGGGATTTGGTGTGCAATCGTGTAACATCCATGTCCATAATATTACCAGGGTCCATAATATTGCCACCTTGAGAAACAGTGTGCTTTAAGATATTTTTACTGCAACATACTTTTGCTATGCACTCCTGCACACCTCAAATGTACATAGCTAGGGTATGTTGCAGTAAAAATATCTTTTAAAAGCACACTGTTTCTCAAGGTGGCGATATTATGGACTATGGTGATAATTTTATTATGGACACAGATGTTAGCAGATTTTTGAATATTTTTGAATATCTCTCCAGCAATTGATGTTACAGAATGTACACGTAACATTTTGATGTAGCTTATAATCCAATGAAAACAAGTCACACTTACATGTACTTAACTAACATCAGTGTTCGAAATACCTGTCTGCAGTCTGCAATCTGCAGATAGATTTTCAAGATTGCAGAAGAAAAATTTACACAATCTGCAATTTTGCAGCAGGAAAAATTGGCACTTGGGATTTGGTGCTCTTGGCCCCAAGGACAGACAACTCTTAAGCTCCTGTTTTGAAACAACAGGAGCTTCTTCACTAATTTGCATCAACCTTGTCTTGACTTGTCTATCTTTTGTTTCTTTTTGGACTTCCAAGACTGATATATATATATAACTAGGTGGGAGTCTAACATGTACATGTTTTTTTTTTCTACAGGCAGAGAACCTCTTGCTAGACAGCAACATGAACATCAAAATTGCCGGTAAGAAATCCTTCATATTTATTACCATACAAAAATGTTATATAATGTATTTTCGGTAGCGTTTGTGTGTGTGTGTCTGCGTGTAAACGCAATAAGTCGAGAAGGCTTATAGATGAGTGGTCTGGATACTTTGTAGGTGGTTTAAGGTCTTGATGAGAGCTCGAAATGATGAGGTTTTGGGCCCCCTGGCAGCTTGTCATGATACTGCAGCAGATTTGGTTTGCATATCTCGTGATCAGGACATGCTAGGGTCACAAATTTTAAATGTGAATGTACTCTCATCTGCCAAATAAACATACGGGTACGTTTATTTTTTTGGGCCCAAACATCCACCCAGTACGTTCTTATTTTGCACAGTACGTTTATTAATTTTTTGAAAACCAGTAATTTTTTTCAACTTCGTGTGAAAAAAATTGACAAATCATTGACGCGAAGACGTTTATAAACGCATATTGTAGCGAGAAACTTGTCATTTTCGGGCCGGTTTTTGCAATCACCGCGTGCATAAATTCGTCTGAATGTTCTATTGTCATGGGTGGTGCTTATCAAAATACAAAATATTAAATGCTCTTTTTTTTGTCTATTTAAATTCCTAATTGCAAATAACAGTTAAAGATTTGTGCATATATCAGTAAGGGTGCATTTTAGTACAAGAGACACAGGTTACCCGTCAATTTTGGTAATTTTCCGGGGGATACGTTTATTCCGGGGGTATGTTTATTTGATTTTGAAGATTTGTCCGGGGGGGTACGTTTATTCCGGGGGGTATATTTATTCGGCAGATGAGAGTAGCTTTTGTTCAACAGTCATGTTGGATGGATTGTAACTCTGATTCTGATCTTGTTGAGTGGATTATAATCAATTTTTAAGGACATAATTTATATATAAGCAAAATCCGATGAGAACAAGCGCTTTACTTCTGAGATGAAGTGTGGAATGACAGCCACCATATATCAGTGGTCGAAATACTTTTTTTCAGTGCTTTGGAAGTCCCAAAAGAAAGAAAAGATAGACAAGTCAAGACAACGTTGATGCAAATTAGTGAAGAAGCTCCTGTTGTTTCAGAACAGGAGCTTAAGTGTTGTCTGTCCTTGGGGCCAAGAGCGCCAAATCCCAAGTGCCAATTTTTCCTTAATCTGCAAAATTGCAGATTGTGTAAATTTTTCTTCTGCAATCTTGAAAATCTATCTGCAGATTGCAGACTGCAGACAGGTATTTCGAACACTGATATATACAATGTGTATAACTGTGCTGCAACATTTCATATTCGGTGACATTTGCCCTGCCTGCATGACATAAATGTATCTAGATTTCATCTACAGTAATACCATCTACTACCACTGTGCACTATCTGGAATTTTGTGAAAGCCTAATACTTCACCGCTGCCAACATTGTTTTACCATAGGCAGTCTACATGTACATGTAGCTGTGTCAGACATCAGTGGCATGCGTATTCTGTCATGTACATGTACGTGTAATGCCATAATGGGTATTAACGTTCCCGTGCTTTTGGCAAGGCCTTAGCTGGTCAAGTACGGGTCAAGGGTACAGATATAGCCACAAAATGTGATTTGTTATTGTGGAAAATACCATCACATATGCATGTGTACTTGAAATTTATATCACAATGCAAAAATAGGTAAATACATAAAAGACTGTTTTGTTATTAGAAAGAATACTGATTTGCTGTCACATGTACCCATAGATAACTCCGCCTGATTGTAAAGCCTAAGCTAACTTTTGATTATTTTTTTATATATATATAAGTTGTTAAGTTTTATTCTATACCTATCTATTTTACTATGCTACTTATTGTTACCTACTAGTATTTGCCATACAATGTACCCTGTACAATTGTCGTGCAATAAAGTTCTTCTTTTTCTATATTCGTAAAACAAATTGCAATACTAACAGAAACCATGATTATTATGAGTGTTGAAATGTAGGCCAGCCATTGAAAAATAGCACAGATTTCCATTTAGCATGCAGTACATGTTGTAGTATGATAGATACATGTATGATGTGGATAACTTTGTTGGATATTTAAAAAAATTGGAAGTAATAGTTTTAATGCAAATAGCTTGGTGATATTATAATATGATATATTGATATTTGTTTGATTTTGTCAATGTCCAGTATTTTATTAACCCTTCACAGTCAGCTAAGTTGCAGGTATCCATTTCTGTTTGGTACAATTTAGTTAGTCTGCAGGGAGAATGTTAAGGCACCCAATGCAATTTCAGGACGGCAAAACAAAAATACAAGATGAGAAAACCTGTCAGATATTAACGTTTACTGCCTGGCATTTCTTAGCACATTTCAGGCTTGTCCTATAGTTGTTTGGGTTACCGCCCATACATGAAAATTACAATACAAAACAAGCAATCTTTTTCTGTCAACACAGTTTTGCCTCATCACAGATATCAGCTTGGGGATAGGATCAATGGACTTATACCATTTATTACGTCACAGTTTGTTTACCGCAATGAATTCCGGTCAATAGACGTTTATATTGTACAGGGGTGCGTAGCGTGGTGTGTGTTTGTGTCACGTTAGACTTAACATTAGGCCTTTATACAGTACTACTTTCGTCTAATGTCACAACTAAATCACCCATTACGGCATGTTGTGCTGTGTGTCAACAAGACTAGACGCAGCAAAAATCAAACATACCTGACTTTGAAAACTTTGAAATGATCTCTATTCTTTAACTGACCGTTCTAGAATGTTCTTTAGAACAGGTAAGCAAACTGTGACGTAATAATGGTATAGGTCAACTTACTACTGTATAAAAAGAATGACCAGAAAATTTACTCCAGTTAGAAAATCCAGTTTTGCCATCCTGAAATTTTGAAATAATGCTACTGTAACGTACTTCGGTTCTTTGACGAATTTGCTCTTACTCTTTTTTTCTGTCCAGATTTTGGGTTCAGTAACTACTTCACTCCTGGGCAGCCCCTGATGACCTGGTGTGGAAGCCCCCCCTATGCCGCACCAGAGGTATTCGAAGGGCAGAAGTACTACGGACCTGAGCTGGATGTTTGGGTAGGTGCAGACCTCTCTCCAGCGACCAAACAATTCACGATAAAAAAATAACCCACTCAGAATTATTAATGTCTGATTAAACAAGTACCAACGATGAATATTTTACCCATACGTGTACACAGGTGACCAATTTATTACACTTTCGGAAGCAATCTAGTCTAATTGATTCGGGGTTAGATCTTTTTACCTCCTTGGTTAGGTAAATTGAACGTTAAATAGTATCATGGGATTTTTGTTTCCAGATATATTTCTTTAAACCAATCAGAATTTCAGATATTAAAGGTCTGCACTCGTAGGTGAGGCACTAGTGTCTCGATTGCCCTTATTTGGGCATTACTGTGGGCGTACTAAGGTGCCCCAGTAGACTCAACGGTAACGTTCTTGTCTTTTTGCTTGGCCTTTAAACATCACGATACTGAATATCCAGGGTATTGACTCGAGTTGTATCAAACAAGATCACCACCATACTTGGGAACGTGAGAAAAATGGCATTTCCTTTGGGATTGAAACAACATTTAAATTCCATCAATCCGTCTGACTCTCTGGCATAAGCACAAGGTGGGAAGTTAGCAGACTGAAGTCATTCAGCTAAAAGGGGTTACCCGAGGCTTACCATGTTTCGCGGCAGACCTTTTTGTCTACCCATTAAATTCTTTTGTCACTCAGTACTGTAAATCAGAAAATATTTGAGTTGATTTTATTTGCACATTTTTGTCCTGAAATCATGACACTCACTGAGTGCTAATATATGGTTTGAATTTCTACTCTACTACAGAATTATCTAACTTCACCCGAAATTCAACCACCACAAAAACTACCAAAACATTAAACTGGCGCAAAATTTAATGCATGTACAGTAGATGAAGGACATGCGTCAATGCATACTAGCCAAATACATAACCACTGAGCTAGGTGGTATGAAACATATATAACTATGCCAAAAGATGGCAGTGGATGTTTATTTTTAAGACTTTAGGATTGTTTTCAAGTGGGAAGCATGTGTTCGGGAGGGAGTTCTATAATTTTGCAGTCCAGGAAAGAAACTGTAGCTTTAGAAGGACTTTAAACGGTGTGACAATGTAAAATTGAGGGGAACCTAGTGGCACGCTGAAAAGTTTTCAGTTGTATTACGAGTCGTGAAAGTTGTTTTGGTGATGGAAACAGATCACTCACTTTTAGTTTGCTTAACAGAAAGGTGAGTTTAAAAACTGGCATTGTCAATGGTTTACCTTTGCCATGTTCTCTTAACTGGCACTAACGCGAGCACAATGCACGGTAATTATCTCTCGGAGCGCCGTCATGTACCCTTTCACGAACAAAGGTCACACGTTGTACCCCGGTCTTTGTCTGCTGAGGTCAGTGACAGATAACGAGTGTGAGTAATGCTCGTCTTGTCTTTCTCAGAGCCTGGGCGTGGTGCTGTATGTTCTGGTGTGTGGGGCCTTGCCATTCAACGCCGACACCTTACCTGCCCTGAGGGAGAGAGTGCTGGCAGGGCGATTCCGCATCCCATACTTCATGTCAACCGGTAAGGCCACACCAATTTAATTTTTTGGTTAACAGATTTTTCTAGAAAAATAATGGAGCGGGCAGGCGAAAAAAAAATAACAGGCCTAGGCATCCTATTATGGCCCAAAATGGTACGATAGGAGTCATTAAGTCAACACACCAGGCTGGTTCAAAATTTAAACAATGAATTTTGAACTTTTAATGATACCATTGCATTGAAAGATAGAATAACTCTAACAACTAGGATGAAAAGGACTGTCTTCAACTGTTCAGGGCAAAATATCAGCATTTTGCAGTTGATTCTGAATTTTTATTTCTATTTGCAAATCCAAAAAAAATGAAGCGGGCGAATCCGTTAACCAAGAAATTAAATTGATGTGGCCTAAGGCATGGGTCATGTGCAGACAGGGCTCAAAATACTTTTTTCTGCACTCCGTCTGATGCAGGTGAATACTGAAAAGTAATACTAGATATAAGAACTAGAAAAGTAACATTTGCAAAGTATGCATAATTGCATATGGTCTGCTCTGTTAATTCTTACTCAAACACATTTCCATATATGGTGACAGGAGTCTAAATCCTTCCTACTATGAAATTGCAACATTATGTAATCCAACACCAGTTACCATGGTGAGAGACAGTCTGGTCATTGGCCAGGTCAGAGGTCAGTGTTTGGAACGGAAGAAGAAGAAGAAACTGAGCAAAAACAAGATGTTTTCCTTCGGTAAACATAGAAATTATTATATAATATTCTTATATAATATTATTCTAACCACTGTCCTTGTTCCTTGCAGAATGTGAGCAACTGATTCGCAGGATGCTGGTTCTGGATCCCAGCAAGCGCTACAGCATCGAGCAAATCAAGAATCACAAATGGATGCTGGAGGACGGCCAGGTGCCCCGCAGACCGCTGTCCAGTCCGCTGCCTCAGATGGAGGAGGACGAGAGACTGGGACACTACAACGAGCAGGTCATCAGGCTCATGAACATGCTGGGCATCAATCCACAGAAGACTCGCGAGGTAGGTTGTTGCAGGTTCTTTTGCTTGATTGTAGTGAACAAGTCAACAACACTTGTGGAGCTTCTTGGTTTATTGTGTTTCCTCCAGGACTCTAAACTCCAGAGTGAGGTCCCTAGTTGGACGGTTCTACTTCTGAGATAGGGGGGTTGTGTAACAGGACTAGTCTACTTCTAAGAAAAGGGGGTGTAACGGACAGTGCACATAATATGGTTCACAGTGGGTTCACAACATAGGTCATCTGTTCTAACCAGCACGTCGGCAGAACCTATTGCGCCTGTGTGAAACCCGTAAATTGTACATAGTACTTTGTCAGAGCGTCTCATATAAGGTCATGTTCGCGCTTATAAGTAGGCATCCCGTCTGTTGTTTCCAAATGTTATGTCGGAAAAGATATCTTCTGCAACAAATGATACAAAACAATGATTTTGTCTGTCAAAGGTGACAGATTGGGCAAAAATTTGGGCAGCCAAACAATGGAAAGACAGATGCTAGCTACATGTAGAGCACTGGCCAAGTAGTTATAATTTCTCCTGCAAACATGTTTAATAAAGTAAATAAACATTCATTTGTACATTTTGATGGAAAGGTCACAAGGCTTTACATGTGACTTACGATGTGTCTTTTCTTCCCGTTTTCAGTCTCTTGATAGCAAAGCTTACGACCACTTTGCCGCCATCTACCACCTACTTGTTGATCGTTTGAAGTACCATCGCAGCAGTTTCCCACTAGAAAACCGCACCGACTCTCGAGGCCGCAGGCCAAGTACTATCGCTGAGCAGGCCATGCTGAAGGCCAGCGCGACCGGCTTCAGCGGCGGGAACGCCATGACGAACTCTGTCCCGCCTTTCGTGAAACCGTCATTCCAATTGACTGTGGATGATTCCCAGAGAACGGCTCAGTCCTACAACCAGTTTGTTCTGAACAGAGTTGAGGACGTCCCCACCCCGGAGGTGAAGGGGTGCTGCCTGGACGTCATCCCCCACCCCCAGGTCAGAAAGGTCCGGTCGGCCTCACCGAGTCGCATGATGGAGTCCCTCGACGAGGACGTGGAAGCGGACATCAGCGAACACGCCGACCTCCCGGGGATGTCCGCCATCAACATGCCGTGCAATTCTCAGCGAAGGCACACGCTGGCAGATCCGATCGAAGGACCGCTGTTGCCGCCCAGCCTGATCCCGTGCAATACATTTGTAAATGACCAAGGAACTGAGATGGACAGAATGCCTTGTGCCCAGGAAGGTTTCCAAGTAGACTCTTTACACGCTGGGTTTGCAGACGAGGTGGAAAACATGGAGCCCTGCGTCAACCACGTCCATGACGACCGATCGGCGATGACAAGTTGTTTGTACGACGCCGAGAAAAGTAGTTCGAACCGTGCTTCTCCTGTAAACTTCCGAGAGGGTAGGCGTGCCTCAGATGGTTCTCTCACCAAGGGCATCGTGGCGTTCCGCCAACACTTGAAAGACCTTGCCAAAGTCAAAGGTATGGTGCAGCTCCACAAGGAGCATCAGGTCCTGCAGGAGATGTGTAACAGGACAGTGTCGGATTGTGACGCCGAGGACGCGAGCGAACTGCCGTCTTGTCGCTTCCAAGAGGCGAGACTGAGAGCGAACCGGCCTTTCTCCCCTCTCGTCGTGCCAAACCAGCCCCCGAGCACACCCAACACCTCCCCGCTCACACGCAGACAATTCCCCATCAACAAACCAGCGGAGCAGCCCACACCCAAACTAATGAAACATGCGACTGTGCACGCAGACCCCGACTTTGACCACAGATTTGATGAGCTCCCGGAACAGATTCTGGCACTAGAACCTTCACAGAAATTTAAGGTATGTGGAAATTTTATTCACTCAATAATATTATTGTATTGTAACCCCTTGTCAAGACAGTCTGTATGTTTATCTTAAATGTGGATAGTTGTGTGACATGTCTAGTCTTTGTACTTGTGTCAGCAATGTAATCTATGGTGATAAATTGCTGTAGACATCATGCCAAGATGCCAGAACCCAAGAAAGCTTGCCTTGGAAAGTCCCTGGCAAATCAATCTGCTTCCTATCACATTTGGGTCCTCTTGAATATTCATAAGTTTACCTTATATGGCACAGAATCAAGCTTTCAGCCAATCAGCACCCACCTTTCAAATCACCCGACCCTGCTACTGCTTGTTTATCTGGTCATGACTGCTGACCTTATAGTATCAACAGTGTGCTGAGTTCTGATTGGCTGAGAGCTGCACCATGCCAAAGGTACTATAAACCGTTTGATTCGCCAGGACGGTTGGCAAGTGAGGATGGGCTGCAGGCCAGTGGTAGTGAAAACCCTAAAGGGGATTTCTTGCTGGCTAATGTCTAACTGATCATTTTCCATATTGCAGTTAAAGTAAGAAAAAAGAAAATTGACATACTAACATGAAAATTAAGATGAGTTGCTTCCAGTTCAGCAGGTTACCAGAGAGCTGTGGTAATATTAGAGAAGTCATCCTGGTCTTGATATTTTTCAGTTGGTGGAGAATTCTGGCCCCTATCAAGCAGATCTGAAAATGGTGAGAATCTTATCAAAACAGTCGGTGGGGTGGCAGTCTCAATAATGCATATATCAAACAGTTACTGTAAGTCTCGGCCATTCCTTCTACATGTTGTTAGTTCAGCTGGTATGCTGGTTAACCTTTGTGCGTGTTTTTGTTCTTCAGACGTTGGAACAGCAGCTTCTGCAGCACAAGCTACACCAGAAGAGACAGATGTTGCAGAAGCAGTCCCAACTCAACATGCAGTTCCAGAGAATGCAGATCAGGCCAACTGACACGCAGACACAGCTTGACAGCCAGCAGAACCCCTTGCAGCTGCAGTGTCAGCTTCGTCAGCAGCAGCTGCAGCACCTGCAGCAACAGCAGCAGCATATCCGCCAGCAGCAGCTGCAGGACAGACTGCAGCAGCAGCAGCTGCAGCAGCTTCAAGTTCAGCAACTGCAACAGCAGCAGCAGCAGCAACTACAACAGCTGCAGCAGCAGCAGCTGCAACAGCAGCAGCAGCAGCTACACAACAGCAGCTGCAACAGCAGCAGCAGCAGCTGCAACAACAACAGCAGCAGCAGCTACAACAGCAGCAACAGCAGCTGCAGCGGCAACAACAACAACAGCTGCAGCAACAGCTCTGTCAGCAACAGATGGCACAGCTACGACACCAACAGCCTTGTGGGCAGATACATCATGCAGCAGCAGAGAACAGCATGCAGACAGCTGGGTCGTCAGCAGCCAACAGAGGCCATATGATCCGACAGACATCCTACAAACTAGCCCAGCAGCATCCTGTCACATTCCCTGTAAGTTCAGTCTTAAAGTGTGTCAGGAATTGAAAGGTTCTTTTTACACAACTGGTTTAGACTCTCACTACTGCAAAAGCACCACTTACATCGGCTACAAACATGCAATAGCGTCAGAAAGCAGTACTACAGTCAGAAGTCCTGAGGAAAGTGTCTGATAGATGTCAAAACATGAGAGTCTATATCACTGGTGTCAAAAGAAAACCTAATATCCTATGCTTTATCAACCAGGTGAAACTATTTTTGGGAGTGTGTCAGGAAGATATTTGTAAAATGGTTGTCAACCTCCTCTTTTCATTCTATTTCCTTATGTACGATTGTTCTGTAATGTCTCGATGTCGCTTTTCCAGGATGCTGGTGGGAGTGAACAGATGACCTACAACCACATATCCAACCAGCCGGAGATGCTGCCTCTTATCCCCCAGCTCAGCATCGACGAGGTAGACGCCGAGTGTGAGAGCATGGACACATCAGACTCTCTCAACTTACAGTCAGGCAACTCCATCCTGGCATGTTAGGAGAGGACTGTCCTGTCCATGTGAAAGAATGAACAGTGTAGCCTGGCCATTTTTCTTAGACAGGGACCAGTTATTATATATAATAGCCCGGTGCTGTAGGGACGGCTCACGATAAAGTTTGCAATAAAACAGGAGAACAAAGAACAAGGCAAACATGTAGGATAAAGCTGCCAAGTTATACAGAGGGATGTTATGTTGGCACGTGCCTTGCAGTGGGAAGCCATTGGGATATAACATAGTTGGGTCATTGCTGTGAAAAAAGAAACGAAACAAAATGGTGAACTATTTTTCCTGTTTCCAATGGGGGAATGATTAATGTCGTTATGTGCAAATGTCGTTGCTCGGTTTGTCCGCTGTGTTCCAACGTTATGTTCACTTAATTGCGTCCATCTTGAAAATTATGAAATGTGTTATCTTGAAAATTATGAAATGTGTTAATACCTTGTCAGAGGTCCTATCATTGCAAGTTGAATGTCTGTCTCCATATGTATGTGCATGATTGTAATCTTATTATCCCAACCTTTCGATATGTACATGTACCTGCTTCGTTTTTTCTGTTGTTCTCTTTCTTCAGTCTCTTTCACTAAGTCTCAACTGTGTTACTGTCAAATGTGTCCACGACAAACTGGCATCCTGTGTCCTAATTAAATTTCCCCTGTCGTGTGGCAGGTACTAAATGTTTTTGTGATGATTGTGTAAAAAGAAGAATGTTGCCAATATCCAAGGAGACGACAGTGTCTGTGTAAAGAGAAAGTGACAAACCTAATTTGTATAGACTGTGAACCTCCTTTCCATGAATGTTCCTTCCTTCTAGACCAAGATGGAGATTTAGAAAGTCCTCGTTTAGTGTATATATTATATATAATATAAATTATTATTGGTGTAAAGTTTATCTGTAGTAGAGCTACAGTGATTGGCTTGATGAGCTACATTTGTAAGTGAGAGTGTAAAAGTGGTGCCATCCACGAGTGCCACAGTCGTATCACCAAGTACAAAATATATCTAGAGCCTATTTTCAACCCTCCTAGTCTATAGAACGACTGAAGGAATGAAACAGGACATCTATTTTCCTTAGAACTAGAACGTATTTTGTACTGTATGTGCAGCATAAGCCAGATATTGTTGACTGTTGTTTTAAGAACTGTTCTGTTCGGGTCACAAAAAATTGTACCTGTGTCATAGACTGTAAATATGTATATCTATAGGACGTTTTTTTGTAAATAGGTGTGAAGGTGTCATTGTACATATATTAGGCAGATATGTACTGTTGTTATTTTTACACAAGTGACAATACTAGCGAACACTTTAAACTCCTTCGACATTTAAAGGACCAAACGAAAATGTAGCTATATATCACATGGTGCAGTGATGTGGATAAGATGGCATCGGTTCAAAAAAACACTGCCTCTGAGGCAAAATTGATGGAATACTGTAAAGGATACCATGTCGGACATTTACCAAATGACTGTGACGTACGGATTTTTGCCTTCTGTGATTATAAATAACCAAGGCAGCGGAACAGTAGAGGATAGACGTGATCTTGTTAGAATTTAATCTCAAAAGGAAACGTAGAGTAGCGGAGTAGAGTGAAGCTAGAGAGAACACCTCCCCCCCCGAAAAAGTGCATATCAAAGTTTGTGCATCATTTATTTATTGTTGTGTAAGGGTTCCTACCCAGAGGAAGAGAATATTACAGTGTAGGGAATGACTTGTCCCTTGTTAATGGTGGTATCCCTGTATGTAGAGCACTGGACATGGTGTGCCTACAAGTCCAGTGGGTTGATCATGCCTAAGAGCATTAAAGGACAATCTGAACATACATCAGTGTCTAAGCCTTTTATTACCTTCGTTAGAAGGTTATGTTTTTGGTGGTGGCACGTGTGTGTGAATGTTGTTTTGCATGATAAGGGGGCCTGCAAGCCCTTTTCCGTAGAGCGTAATCGGCCGTTTTAATTCTACGTAGAGCGTAGACGGACCATTCTTCGCATTTTGCGTAGAGCGTATTCGCCGTTTTAATTCTACGTAATGCGTTGTAGCCACTTGGAATTTATCGTAAAACGTAATCGAGGGTTTCCGAATTCAGCGTAGAGCGTTGTCGGGACCCCCCCCTTGCAGGCCCTCTGATAACTATTAAGAAGCTTTGAATGGATTGTCATGAAACTTGGTACTAGGTGGGTAGGTCTTAGTGAGACTTCAAACTGGTTAGATTTTGGGCCACCTGATGGCTTGTTGAGTATACAGAGACCTACAGACTGAAGTTTAGTTTGAAGACCTTTGTCAGAAAGCAAACACTTTTGAACGAGTTGCATTGCTTAATGTTATCAGGGCTATGAGATCTGTTTATATAATTATATGCTTGCTGGGTATTTTGTCCCATTTTTTACTCAGTGACATTCAGGACAGTGCAAGCATCTTTAACAAAAAGGTAAAAGAAGCATGTTGCTGTCAGCTGCCTGCACCAGACAAAGCTTTGTAAGCTTCCCCAGACTTCAGAGGCAATACAGTAACTACATCAAGAAATTGTTTGATGATTTGATGCAAGTGACCTGATCATTGTTGAAGAATTTTTTTTTCTGAGAAAAACATAGATAATAGAGAGGCCGACATTTGCTTGGGAGCAAATACAGCATATTTCAGTCCATCTCCCTCCCACGCAAAAGTGGACTATTCCAAACTTACCCCAGTGTAAAACTGGCAAAGATTCTCAAATAAATGAATTATATAGTAGCTATGTAATTGAGAACAAAGATGCAAGAACAAGCACGTTGAATCTCGAAAGCTTTACTAGTCTTATTACAGGTAATATATGCAAATACTAACAATGATGAGATTTGATACATTTTGAAGGTCTTAGGCACATAAAATTGAATGTGTGGGTCATTCCGCACGACTTACATGCAATGTGACCTCAGGTAACCCGCAATGGAACACGTGTTCCATGGCCAATGGCAGATGGAGCAGGCCATTCTTTAGATAGAACATGGAACGGGTATAGCACTTTTGGCCCTTTTTTTGCTGAAAATAGCCATTAAAGTCCCCCAAATGAGTCATTGGGAAGTGGTGTATGCCAAATATGTGACTGCTATTCTGTAGACACATGTTCAAGGTACCCTTATACCGAATTTCAGATCATTTGGTTGTAAAACCAGGGCTCAGGATCCAAAAATCCATTTTTTGGCGAAAAATGCCCTAAAAACCTTCATAAAAATTTTTCAAAGGCATGTATCAAAAAAAATGAAAAAAAACGCCTGGGGGTATTGGCTCACTCTACCTCCATGCCAAATTTCAAGTCATTTGGCTGAATGATGGCGGAGTTGAATCCCTTTGACTGTGTGGCAGGAGGAGGAGAAGAAGAAGAAGGAGGAGGAGAAGAAACATCAGAGAACACAATATATTTCATCCATACCATGGTATGGACTGAAATATAAATATAGCCTTGATGAAGGAGACGATTTCAATCAATCGTTCGCAGGCATCTGGAGCTATGAAAGCTGACCCTTAAAAGACAAGACTACAAAAAAATGGTTTGGTGATTTGATGCATCTCACCATCTCTGATGCATTTTTTTTTTCTGGGCAAAAATAAATAAGCCTGTTAATGATCCTGACATCAAGGCTAGGTTATATCTTCATCATCATAGCTTGTCGCCAATCCACTCCAACCAGGTTATATCTCATGTTCATGTTGGCTCAAAAAATCTTCAAAAATGATCACAGATAATTTGCAAAAGGAAGATCATCTTATATTACTACATATACAAGGAAACTCAGTCTATAAGAAAAAAAATTAATTTCTAATTAAAAATCTTGTGTGCAGAAAGTTTTCTTTCCTGAAGAAAATTTATCTGTGTGGAAGAAGAAAAAAAGCATTTTGGCAGTGATATTGGATCATTTTTTAAAAAGTCCTTTTCAATCTCACCATTTGTTATGTACACAATGTACTCGCCCTGTTGGCAAACATCAATCATTGTTTTCCAAGAACTGATGGTGAGGCATTTGCATTTCCTGAAAACAAGTCTTAGGCCACACCAATTTGATTTCTTGGTTAACGGATTCGCCCGCTTCATTTTTTTTGATTTGCAAATAAAAATAAAAATTCAGAATCAACTGCAAAATGCTAATATTTTGCCCTGAACAGTTGAAAACAGTCCATTTCATCCTAGTTGTTACAGTTATTCCATCTTTCAATGCAGTGGTATCATTAAAAGTTCAAAATTCATTGTTTAAATTTTGAACCAGCCTGGTGTGTTGACTTCATGGCTCCTATCGTACGATTTTGGGCCATAATAGGATGCCTAGGCCTGTTTTTATTTTTGTTTTTTTTTTTCGCCCACCCGCTCCATTATTTTTCTTAGAAAAATCCGTTAACCAAGAAATTAAATTGGTGTGGCCTTGGATCATTATTTGG